GCCAAGCGAAGAGCAACGAGTGATCAGTCCGCCGGGTGACGTGGGGGAGGCCATCAAGCATACTAACTCGCCTACAACTACACTGACCGCAGAGGGGACGAAGGTCACGCCAGCCCATCAGCAGCCAAGCTCCGGGGGACCAAATGAGGTCGGCAACGAACGGGCAGGTCAATGTTCACAGGTCCAACACCGATATAATTTGAGACAAATGACAAGGCGGACTAACTGAAGACCACCAGACTCAACTACTGCTAAACTCTGACGATGGAAGCGAGAAGGTTTTCAAAATGTCAGTTGAAATATAACTTGGTCCATGAACCCGCCCCCTCTTCTTCTTCTTCTTCTTCTTCTTCTTCCTTACCTTTGGGAGATGATGAACGCGATAAAAATAATTACTACATACTAAACTTCCCGAAGCTAAACTAAGCTTAAGTAAACAAAACCTACTAGACTAAAACTCAAATAAATTGAGACAAAAATTAAGCCAATAAAATAACCATTGAACCGTATTTTTTAAAGTAAACTAACCTAATACCACCGACCCCGTAAGACCAAATTCTGGGGCTAGGGGTATTTAACGTGTACGACCAACTTAAATTTTAGTGTATTACTGATTCGAAACTATTAGTCAGGTAGGGATTGAAACTTATTGTGCAGTATATTCCCAAGATCTTTCAGCTTTGGCACGAACTACTTTCGGCCGCCTGCGAGAACCACACTCGGCAAAATAACTATTTGCGTAGTAGGCATTTCCCCGTTGATTTTTACTCATCACAAAGGTAACACGCAATCCATCCACATGGAATATGACAACCCCACGAAAATGGTGTTTAGTGATAGAAAGGCAGAATCGCACAGAAATATAAAGAAACAAAAACATTTTTTTTTCTACCATTTTACAGTAAGATGTCCATTTCATTTTATATTCATAATACATTGTAAATACTAGTTACAGCCTTCTAAAGGTTTCTTTATTACTACACTTTGAGGCTCGAATTTTCGGAACCGATTAGGGTTCAACGATGTTGATCAAATTCGGATTCAGTTCACGCTCGATTAATCAAATCCTTAGATTCGAACCGAGTCCGAATCCTCGCGAAATACATTTTGTTCATTTTTCAATTATGGCGTTCTTGTTCACTGTATATATTAGATTATTATATTAACTTTATCAACTATTTCTTTTATATTCTCCCTTGCGCCCCTCTGCGTATAACCCCTATCATTACCAGTCACATATTACGGAATTCTGGGGTTTTTGCTATCTGTGGTGATCCATATAAGAGATTGTTACCGAACAAAACATCAAAGCGCTGCCTAGCCCCTTGATAGCGTCGCTAAGGTAAACGAACAATGGCTTTGGAAAGGTCTAGCCATTCTAGTCCCAACTTCACATTACCTCAAGAAAAGAAAACATTGAGAAGACATGCATTACGACATTAACTTTAGGAGACTACCTAACTAACGTACTCGACATTCACTCAAATACTGGAAGCAATTGTCCATTTGAACCATTTTTTCCCGGTAGAAATTTGAACAAGGCGAAGATCAAGAGTTGAGCAGAATTCATTGACGTCATAAAATTTCTTGACCTCTAATTAATCTGCAAACGGTCATTGCCTGTTAATATAGTAAATTAACTGTCCAATTAGA